TCTTATTCATAAATAAATCAACATGTAGCCACACTATCTACTTGTTTGTCTTCTAGTAATAATAAAATATAATATGTAAAATATTTTATATTTATAGATTAGGTTGAAGTCCAGACTTTGAAAACCACAAGGTGCTTATATAAAAACCTTCAGGGAAAGTAAATGGGAGCAAAGATTACTTAGAGTATACTTGAGACTAAGAAAGAAGTATGATTCTCAAGTCTTTTTAGAGCAAACAATACTCTAGTAATCCAATAGTCTATAGGCACCCATTTCTTTGCAAACCTATGTTCAATAAATAAAAAAGGTTTTGTCATTTCTAGAAACGAGTGTGTTACTACTATATGTCAAGTTGTTGATTTTAGGTCTCCTACATAACCAAAGAACCAATTTTTGAAGTTACGGTCAGAGGTAAGAAATGAAATAGATTTGTGCTGAGCCTGATTTAAGAAAGAAAAGGTTGAGGCTAGCCACCTCTATAAACTGGAAGCTTGCCAACGCCAGAGCCCTATGCCGACTATTTTTAGGTAACGGTCAAAATCTTTAGATAGATACTGTTCTTATTTTTGAAGCATAGTGGGCCTAAAATAAAAACATCTTAAAATTATAAGAAGTAATAAAGTTTTTCCTTTTTATGAGTGTTTATCATCATTTCTATATCCAATATCTGATACTAAATCATAATCAAATACTAGTATTAATTGCAAACTGCTAACAACATCGTACCTTTTTTACAAAATCTACTAAGCCCTTGTTTGGCATATGCAAAACGGGAGTTTTTGACTAAAATAGTCACAAAAAGACAGAATAGACCTTTTATCCCAATAAGACAAAATGTCATATTCAAACCATAATCATTTCATTTTTTCTTTTAAAAAAACCTATCCTAAACGAGACTTTTTAGCCACAGACTAAAATAATCAAAAAGTCAAAAAGTTAATCCACATCCCAAACGAACTCTAAGGCCTCATTTGGCAAGTGATTTTTTTAGCCAAAAAGTCAAAAAGTCATTAAAAAAATCAAAAAACCAACAATCTATACCAAAAAGTCAAAGATTCTCTTTTCTCTCTACTTTTTGCACATCTTTTCGTAAAAAATTAAAAAGTTATCCTAAATATATTATTTTTTTAGCTCATATTTTAGCCAAATAATAAAAAAATTACTAAATTAGTCTGCTCCCAAACGAGGCCTAATTACTGATGCTGCTAAAAATATAAAATTTAATAGAGAAAAAAACAATAAAATATCTAAAGAATTGAATATTACCAACAACAATTGGATTTAGTATCCTAAGGTTTAATTTTCGCATCATCGTCACATCATTGAGCCATATCATTTGGACCACTTGAACTATCTTATTCACACAGCCTACCTAGCATTACCCTTATATATATGGACTACAATTTTTTATCCATTACTTTGCGCTAGAAGGTCGCGTTTGTTTGATTGTAGTATACTACTTTTTAGGAGATTATATTCAATACTTTTTTTGAAAAAAGTCTTTTATTTTAGTACTTCAATGTTCAATCAAACATTCCCCCAATAGTATATTATCCCTATCTTGTAGTAGAGGTCTTCAGTGCAGTGTTAGGGCAGTCCAAATTTATTTTCTTTACTTTTGTTTTTTAGATTTAGGTTGTATAATTTGTTTTAAAAATAAAAAATATATATTTTATTAATATTTTTATGTAAGAAACTATTTTTAATTGTCATAAAAAATTATTTTGAAATCAATATGAAATGATTTGTGTTATTTATTTTAAGGAGACTTATCGTGAGTTTCATTGATCAAACTTATTTATCTATAAATTTTTATTTTTTTTATTTTACCTACCAATATTTTTTTTTCTAACTCTAAGTTTGAAAATTCAAAAGCATTGCTAATTCAGGTATTCTTAATAGGTACAGTGACTTGATATATCTTGGCTATTATCAAAAGAGCAAGTACCTAGTGGACCAACGTTACATAGACTCTCTAAATAATTAACATTTTTAGTTGGACATTCACCTACCAAGCATGTAAAGTTATTCAACTTTAATTATACATAAAACTCTGTTACTACATCAATTCTGTTACATATTTTATTCAAAGCAAGTGAAGTATAACACTCAATATGACTTGAAAAATACCATATTAGCTTGTGAAATTAGAAATAGTATTAAGAAATCTATATGTAACCATGCTTGATGCCCTAGGACTTGGGAATGAGATGAATTGATGCTTAGATACATACTTGCACTTGACACTCGTACCTGAAGCTTAGAATCTATGTAACAAAGGACTGGCTGTGTTGTTTTTGTTCATTTTGTATAATTGATATTTCATGTAATATGTAACAAATATCTTAACTTGAATTTATCCCAGAAAACCAAAATCTGAAAAAGAAATAACAGTGAAAAAGAAAATCCTTGAAATTTAAACCTTTTTCTTTAATCTAGGGTTTCAATGTTAATGTCAGTGGGGATGGAAAGACTCTTCATACTGATATAAAAACATAGATACATCATTCATATGTTGGAATTTTTTTATTAATAAGCAACAATTGAGTTTGTAGTCAAATGATGAAAATGTGTGAAATACCAGCTATACAAACTACTTTTTAGGAGATTATATTCAATACTTTTTTTGAAAAAAGTCTTTTATTTTAGTACTTCAATGTTCAATCAAACATTCCCCCAATAGTATATTATCCCCATCTTATAGTAGAGGTCTTCAGTGCAGCGTTAGGGCAGTCCAAATTTATTTTCTTTACTTTTGTTTTTTAGATTTAGGTTGTATAATTTGTTTTAAAAATAAAAAATATATATTTTATTAATATTTTTATGTAAGAAACTATTTTAATTGTCATGAAAAATTATTTTGAAATCAATATGAAATGATTTGTGTTATTTATTTTAAGGAGACTTATCGTGAGTTTCATTGATCAAACTTATTTATCTATAATTTTTTTGTTTTTTTTGTTTTACCTACCAATATCTTAAAAGAGTGTTCGGGCAAAGTAAACATTTTAAAACTTAGGTGGTATTTGGTTCATAAAAATAAAATGATCATTTCATTAAAAAATTCTATTACCATATTTGATTAATTAATGAATAATGTATATGTACTAATTAATGTACTAACTAGTATACTAACAGATGATGTATCATAATTTTAAAGGTTTTGGGTATTTATAATTTATATAATAGGTGGGGTCAATAATAATAACATAACATTAGTTAGTACACTAGTGTATATATTAATTGGTGTATGTAGCACTATCATTAATTAATACATTATAAATGAAAGAATAATGTTATATGTATCAATGAATGTACTAACTAATATACCAATTAATGATGTGACATAATTTAAGAAGTTTTTGATATTTGTAATGTGATTAATGAGTAGGGTCAATAATAATATCATAACTAGTGTTGGTACACTAGTTAGTACACTAATTGATATATATAGCACCACCGTAAATGAAATCATAAATCACCTTAAATGATCATTCACTAGTCTCCCTAGTCCATTACATTAAATTTCATTATAATAAATCAATATTAAAAGAGGGTATAGAATTTATAAGCATTTAAATTCATCGTATAATACTTATCTCTATTCAAATTAATGTGATTAATGAGTGAGATCAATAATAATATCATAACTAGTGTTGGTACACTAGTTAGTACACTAATTAATAAATATAGCACCATCGTAAATGAAATCATAAATCACCTTAAATGATCATTCACTAATCTCCCTATTCTAGTCTCCCTATTCTAGTCCATTACATTAAATTTCATTCTAATAAATCAATATTAAAAGAGGGTATAGAATTTATAAGCATTTAAATTCATCGTATAATACTTATCCCTATTCAAATTAAAAAAATCTCTTTATTTGGTTTTGAATTTTCAAAGATAATTTTTTAAGTTTTCAATTCATATTTTGATATTTGTAATGACTTTTTAAAAATATTTTAATCAATTTTTTTTTTGGATCCACTTAATTTTAATATATTTAAAAAGTAAAAAATTTGTAAATTATTTTTTTAAAATTCATTAAATACAAAAAAAATAAAAATATATTGAATTTTAATATTTTTTATATTTAATGAATTTTTAAATTTTTTCTCCATAAATATTATACCTTTTAAGCATATTTAGATTAAGAGTATCTAAAAAATTAAAAATAAAAAAATACACAAAATAAAAACTAGGCTCTGTTTGGAATGGTTTTCAAACTATGATTCCACCTCTTTATTTGCGCTCGATGTTTGTTTGTAGTTTTCAAAGTTAATTCCATACTCAGTTTTGAAAACTCTGTCAAAGGTGGGAAAATTTGGCCTAACCAGACGTCCCACCGATCGTTCAGTTGGTTGACCGGAACAGTACAAATTTATTTATTTTTTTAACATATGTTAATTTTTATATATTCGAAAAAAATATTTTCTGAATTTTTAAATTTTTTTATGTATTTTAATAGAATTTTGAGTTATATGTTTGGTTATGATTTGTAAATTTTTGTATCAAATATCATATGTCACATCAAAAATTTTCTACTTAATTCAAACCTCTTTTCAAAACTTTTTCACAAAACAAATTTTTCACACTTAAATCATAATTTCAAATCTCACAAACTCAAAATACAACTTTTACTCTCAAATCATAATTAAAAAGTTCCGCCAAACGCAACCTCAATTTTCTCCCCCCATGATTCACCTTAATTTAATTTAGAGTAATGATTCATCCCCCTTTTTCTCCCACCCCCTTTGACCCCCCTCTCTCTCTCATTGGTCATTTTTTTTTTTTTTTTTTTTTTTTTTTTTTTTTCCTCCAATCACCACCTACCACGTGGCAAAGGGGGTGAGGGGTGACCCCCAAAAGGGGTCCAAGCATTATTCTTTAATTTATCATTTATTTATTTATATTATTTTCTTGGGCTCGAGCCGAACGGGTAAGTCCAGTTTTTAGAATCTTTTTAGAACCCTGATTTGTTATATATTACAAAAAAACCCGGAACTAGAACGATCGCGACCCGGAAGACCCCCCCGGGTCTCTCTCTCTCTCTCTCTCTCTCTCTCTAAAGCCAGTCTGGCGACGACGGTTTCTCCGGAGATTCCAATGGCGAAATCATCACCGGTTTCTGCGCTGAAAGCATACTGGTTTCCTCTGATTCTCTTCGCATCATCCATGTTCTATCAGCTCCTGATCCTCCCTCGTTCCTACCCTCCTTCTCACTACGATGGTCACACTCACTCACTACCGAAGTTTCTTTGCTCTTTCTTTCTTCACTATCTACTTTTCGTAACAATCAATTTTTGTAATTTCAGTTTTGGGGATCAAGAGGTATAGTTCCATGGAACAAGTCACTGAAGCCTACGAGAAGTTCTCTTCCAAGTGGTAATAACGCTCTTCACTCTCCAAAATCTGATCTTTTATTATATCAAGTTTTGAATCTATATATATATGCATACATAATTAAGTGTGATACTTTTCACTCCAGCCTTTTCTGGGTATCATTTCAATTTTGTGTTATATGTGCTCTTATATTCTGTTTTAACCCTTGACAGTTTTATTTGTGACTTGTGAGATACAAAATTGGTAGGTTAACTTTGTGTCTTTACCTCTAAGAAGCAAATTTTTAAAAAAATACAGGATAGACACGTTGAGACACGTTCAAAACATATATTTTTATTATATGTATATTTTTAATTATTTAATATATATTTTATGTCAAATATTTAATTTTATCAAATTTATCAATCTTAAGTATGCTATTTAAGTAAAAAAAAATAGTACTCAGTGTGTTCTTAAGGTGTCCCTAGTGTGTCCTCAGCGTATGTCCCTTGTGTGTCCTCAGTGTGTCACAACATGTCCACAGTGTGTCCAAAGTGTCCAACTCTTTCCAACGTGTCCAGCGCGTGTCCGTGTCCGTGTCCGTGTCTGACACCTATATGCAACCTCCGGAGAGGTGTTTGTGCTTCATAGCTTTACCTCATTTTTACTAATCAATTTTTTATATTGTGTTTTGTCTAATATTTTCAAGGCATACATTTCATGGAGTGGCTTTACTATGGTATACAATACTGGTAGGGCTTGTTTGATTGGTTGAGTAATAGTGATAGGATTAATAATCCATGGGATTAGCCATTGGATTGACTGTCCAACTCAATTAGGGCTTGTTTGATTAGGCATACTATAGCATAGGATTGTGATTTTTAAACCATAGGAGTTGCATTCCATTGTCTGGTTGCAGATTTTATTATTCGGATTAGATTCCAATGGTCATTCTATCCAACAAAATGGATGATTTTTTTTTAATCTTACAACTTGTACATATAATTGAGATTATAAATTTTTATATCTATTGCAAATAAACTTGGATAATAGGAAATTATGTATCTCAGCAATCTAGCTGGATAACTAATCCTACACTAATCCCATGGATTGTTAATATCCTCGCTATTAATCCTTGCTAACCAAACAAGAGTGGATTATTAATAATAATACCTACTCCCATATGGTATTGAATATCCCACGATATTGTGAGATTAGAAATCCTACGTATTAGTAAGCCAGCCACCGTTTATGCCATCCAAATGTAGGAATGTGTGTATCACCGGATTAACAATTCAATCGTATGCTCACTCTAATACTAGAATCAAACAGGCCCATAATGAAATATATTTATGTAAATGGCAGTGTTATGTTTATATAATATATTCTCAATCAACTTGACATTCAAAAGGTGGACCTATGAACTCTGAATAGAGTAGAATATGAAGAAAGATAAAGTGAAAACTCTTTATTTTAAAACCTAAAAGGTGTGTATATTTATTGTTAAAGAACAAGTAAAATATAATTGTGGAACCGTAGGGTTGGACTGGCTTGACCTATGTTTATTTCACTGTAATAACAAAAGAATGGTGGGGAACAGACTTGTGAGACCACACAAGCTTATTCTAATCTACCCCAGAACCTTAATATGTGAAAATCCTCCAAACAGCTTGAACACTAAATATCCATACAATCTTGTTTGGGGTCTTTACTGCAAGGGAATAAGTAAGCGAGAATCTCCCTTTTAATCTGTCAATTTGATAGAATCTGCACTTGGCCTTTCCAGCAATTGCCTGAAATAATAGAGGAAACATGAACCTCTTTGCGCATACTTGAATCATATATAATTGGAGTGAATTTTTTCAGGCAATTGGAAGAAAAGAAAACAAAACAAAAGGAGGCAACCATTTGTTAAACCATAGTGATATCTTCTTAGCAATTGAAGTGGATTTTGTTTTTCCCCCAATAATACTACAAACCCAAACTTAACTACCCAGAAATTACCCAGAATTATAATCTTGTGGTTGAGATTTATTCTACATACGGATCCCACACCACACAAATTCAATCACAACCACACAATCCCATTCGGGGTAAATTTGGGGAAGTTAAGGGTGGGTACCTAGAATTTATTTATTTATTTTTTTCCTGTGTGTTTGTGTGTTATAAGGGGTATTGGGTCTATCTTTTGAATTTTTTTTTTTTTTTACCTGATTTTATTTTTTATTTGGTTGCAAAAGGGTTGTGGCCCTCACAATGTTCTCTAATATAATTTTCTTTGCTGCCAATAAAAAAATACTTCTTTCTCCAAGCCCAAGTGAGTCCTCGAGAATTTTTAAAGTTGTGATCTATACTAATTTGCCCAAATGAAAGATCCAACATAAGTAATTAAAAAAAATTCCATAAATGCTTACTAACTGAGCTTTATTTAGTTCTTCATGTTTCTTAAAACCGGAACCATGGTCCTCCTTTGGCAAACATATAGAATCTTCGGCAGTCTTGGCTATGGTAGAGGTTAGATCCACTCCTTTCCATAGAAAGGCTCGTAAAACTTTTTCTATGGAAGTGAGAACTTTCTTTTCGAGAATAAACATGCTGGACTCTATGTTACATGGACTTGGGTACGGGTGTCGGGTGCGAGTATGTATCTAGAGATCGGACTCATCAAACCATAATTTAAGGGTACGTGGACTCGGTAAAAAAATGTCATATTTTTATATTTTTAATCAAGTATGTAAGATAAAATGGTGCTATATGTAACTTGCAGTGTCAAAAAGACATTTATAGCAATTATACAATAATATGTACATAAAATAATAGTGTTATTATATACAATTATATAAGAAGTATCCGTTGAAAAGTATTCGACACATATTCTATACCCTTGTCCGACACAGGTATTTGATTTATTTTAAAGAGTCCATGTACTAGTATATTTGAATAGAGAATAACACTGCCTTGATCAATATTATATGGGCTCTTCTAAATTTATGAAGTATATGTGTTGGACAGTTAACACTTGCGTAAGGGTATGAGATATGTCTGATATGCCTAGTTGAAGATGCACCCAAAAAGTATGTATAAGTTGTTGAGTTTACTATAGTAATATGCATAAGATTTCTATTTTCTATATAAATACTATATTTTAGTTTTTAAATGTCATTTTATCCTTAAAATATGAAGAAATCAACATATATGAAATATAGCCGTGTCTAGGTGTCCTTGACATGAGAATTAGATGAATTTGACACTTAACACATATCCACACTCAACACCCATACCCGAGTCTATGTACATAGGTTTTGATCAATTGAAATCTGCCTGCACCAGATTATACATCAGTCCAGGACTTAACTCTGGCTATAATTCAACAAGACGTTTGCAATACTCTGCCATGAACTTGGAAGAAATTAAAGCTACAAACACCATATTAGAAGACTCATCACTCTTAGCAGGATTTGGAGTTAAACCAGACAAACTCTGAAAAACAGTCAAAGCCTCTTTAAATAGACTAATAAAACTCACATCAGCCTTGCAAAAGAGCACGGGGTTAGTTATAAGTGGAAGTCGAATGAGTAATCCTTTCCTTTGCATACCTTGAGTACTTGAAGTCACTCACTGTTATCTTCTTTCTCAGGATACCTGTCAGAATTTCTATAGCCGTTTAAAACAAGTAGGGTGGCATGGGTGCCCTTGTTTAAGGCCTTTGACACTTGGGAAATATTCCTTCAGTTCATTATCATTGCCGTTAATTAAAAAGCATGGAAAAGTAATACATGCCTTGACCCAACTGATAAACTTTTCAGGAAACCCCATCCCATCAACTGTCTGGAGCTTGGAATGCCAACTTACTGAATCATAGGCTTTTCTTAAGTCCACCTTCAAAGCACATTTCCTGCCATTAGCACTGCGATGATATTTCCTGAGAAAGTAGCACATTATCAGCAATCCTCTCCATCCTTCATAATGGGCAGTTTGACAACGTGACAGAATTAAAGGAAGAACCATTTTAAGTCTATCCGCTACAATTTTAGCAGTGCACTTATAAATGATATTACAATAAGAGATAAGTCTATCACTTAGATTTGAAGGCTTAGGCAGCTTGCCGATCCACTTAATCACTATAGATTGAACTTCTCTCAGCAAGCACCAGAACTGTAGAAAAAAGATATCCAAGCAATCACATCATCACCTATAATGGACCAAGCTTTTTTAAAGAACATAGCGTTGTACCTATCAGCTGTTGGAGCTTTTTCATCTTTCAGTGAGAACATAGTGCTTCATCTCTGCAGGAGCAACATACCTGAGTAGCTCACATTTCTGACATCCAGTAAGTCGCTTCTTGATATAGTTTTTTATGTCATCACCAGTCCCATGGTCAGCAGTAGTGGGCCCTAAAAGTTTATCAAAAAATGAGACAATGTCTTTACTTCATTTGGGTATGATTGAACCGCCCTCCTTTGTTATTCCCACGTTTCTATGGCTAGCTCTTCTCTTATTTATAGCTTTAAAGTAAAAAACACTATTCTGGTCCCCTAAATTCAACTACTGAATTATAAAGTTCTGCTTAACATACTTTCCTCAGCCCTACAGCTACTCAACTTGCTAAAATTGAGCATAGCATTCTTTTCTTCGTGAATAAGAGCTACATCATTTCCACTTCCTTTCAACTACTTTTGTGACCAGTCTTATTTCTCAACTCTTAACAATAATGACCACTATATTTAAGCTTCTTTTTTTTTTTGGGTGAATAACTATATTTAAGCTTTGAGCTGGTTATATTTCTCTCATTCAGAAGGAGAATTGGCTTGTGGAAATATTTAGAAGTTAAGGCCAAGTTTGGCAAGTTGAAAAAAAGCTAAAAAGCCAAAAAGTTACTCAAAAAGTTAAAAAGTTATCACTATTCACCAAAAGTCAAAAATTACGGCTGCACAACTCCCAATCCTAATTTTCCCCTACACACTAATTTATACAATTTTTTAATACACATTTTTCCATAAAAAGTCAAAAAGTTAACCCAAACAACCATATTTTTTCCTCAACTTTTTAGTCCAAAAAGTCAAAAAGTGCACTTATTTAGGACATCCCAAAACATCAATTTCGTTTTTGCAGGTTCTGAAGTTTGATGATGGTTAAAGTTGTGCACTTTAAAAGTTGAAGCATTAGTTTAATAATGGATGTTTATGATCACTGATTCACTACCAGTATAGAAAACAGACTAATTTGCTTAATAATTGTCATATACTCAAGGTTCTACTTTGTTTGTTTGTTTGTTTTTATTTATTTTTCTGCTGCAATATGATTGTGTTTATATCACTTTGTGTCATTATATTAGTTGACATGATTATTCATTGTTGTGAACAGTAACTTTTCTTACTTAGTTGATGCTGATCTTTTCTAGAAGACGCTAATAAGATATGTAGCTAACTGTATATATGGTATTTTTTTTTCTCTGATTGGTGTTATACCAAATATTTTTATATTAAACTAACAAATGCATTGATTCAGGAATTCAGGCACAGAAGTTCCTCCTATAACTGAGTTTATCAAGGTTTGTAAGTCTCCATTTGCTCTCAAGGGGATTTACAAAATCAGTTTCATGTGTATGTTTATGTATATATATGTGTGTATGTCTCGCATGGGGGGCGGGTTTTGAACATCCTGTAATATTGTTATATATTTTTGTCATATGTGAAATATCGTTGTATTGCATATATGTTCTCCTGTTATGCTTCTCCAATTTGGCCACATTATTTATTGGAAGTTGAGAAACAAAATTTTTTCACGATGACATTATTAAAATAAATTTTCCAATATGGATGAGTAGTAATACAGCAGAAGTATAGAACTGGAAGGTAGAGGTAGGATCAATTGGTACAGGATGACAGACTTAGATTGGCTGATCATGTGAAACAAAGGCCAATAATTGTGCCAACTAGAGAGAGCAATGTCTTGAAGGTGTTGCCTAATGAAGGGAATACAAAGAAAGGACTGGAAAAAACATGTTAGTTTATTTTGATTTAACTTTGGACCCAGTCCCAGATGAAATATTCGTGAAATAAGATCCATGGAAGCATAATATTTTGTTGAGTTGAGCCATGTGATAATTTGTACAGATTCTTTGCGTTGCACTTGATATTGCTTCTTGAAATTAAGAATAAATTTCCCCTTTGTTAGGTCAAGTTTGGAAAGACTAAATAAGTGTACTTTTTAACTTTTATTGTATTATGTGTAGAAAAAGTAGAGAGGAGATATTGATTGATGTGACCCAAAAAAGATAAAAAGATGAAATAAGTGCACTTATTTTGTTTAGCCAAACTTGGCCTTAGTATTGGAATCTGTTACAACAACGAAATTATTCAAGGGGAAAGGATCTCCTTTGATAAATTTCCTTATGTTTATAAGATATCCCAATGCTTAATCAGTCAAATTATAAAAGTTTTCTTACTTATCCAATCTGTGGCTTGTTATGAGTCATTTTGAAAATTTGACCAAATTCTACATTTAAATTTTTTTTTGGTTGCTTCTACAAAATATTTGAAAATTTTGTTTTCTGAAATATAAGGTTTATTTATTTATTTATTATTATAATGGTTTGATCTATAAATCTAATGCTTTATGAAGTCTTAATTATCATGTCTACTTTCTGTCACAAAACACAGATGTGATACCATGCCCAGTTCGAAAGAGTTACTCAACGTGGAAGTCATCTCTGTTCATATGATATTTGTATATTTAGAAAAGCGTACGATAGGGTGCCTAATGATGTGATATGGTGGGTGTTAGAGAAAAAGGGTGTGACCAAGGGGTTTATTGATGTGATAATGGACATATATGATGAGGTTGTAACTATAATTATATGTAGGAGAAATTAGTGAATTTCCAATTATTATAGGATTACATCAAGGGTCAACTTTGAGCCCTTATCTATTTGCCTTTGTTATGGATGAATTAACTATATATATTTAGTTAGCATGATGTCGTGTATACATTCAATATGATGTCCCATGATGTATGTTGTTCGTAGATGATATTTGTTCTAGTGGATGAAATTAAGGGAGAAATTAACACTAGAATAGAACCTTGGAAAGAAACATTCAAGTGAAAAGGGTTTAAATTAGTAGAGCTAAAAATGAATATTTGGAATGCAACTTTAGTATCAATAGTAGAAGAAATAATGAAGAAGTGAAAATTAAAAATTAACAAATTACAAAGAGCGGATATATTTTTAACCTAGGTTTGATTATTAATTAGGATGGAGAGGTTGGAGATAATGTGATCCATAAAATAAAAGTAAGTTGGCTCAAGTACAGAAGTGCTACTGACATATTATGTGATCGATGAATATTAGCAAAATTGAAAGGAAAATTTCATAGAACTATGATGTTAGTGATGATTTACAAGATAGAACGTAGGGCAACTAAAATAACATATTTATAAACAGAATGAATTCTACACGGCTTAGCCGTAAACCACCTAGTTTACGGGCGGCCACTCAATAGAAGCTACGTCGGCCTATGTTACATAGACTTTTCAAAATAAATCAAATACCCATATTGGACACTTGACACTCGGACAAGGGTATGGGATATGTGTCGGATACCTTTCAACGGATACTTCTTATATAATTGTATATCACACTATTAGTATATGTACATACTGTTGTATAATTACTATAAATGTCTTTTTGACACTATAAGTTATATATAGCACTATTTTATCTTACATACTTGATTAAAAATATAAATATATAATATTTTTTTGCCGAGTCTGCGTACCCTTAAATTCCCTGTAACATAGACGTCAGCCATTGAACAGATGTCCACCACTCTGGTTTTCTCTTCTCTCTCGTTCTTTCTCTTGATGCTTTTTCTTCATTCCCTCTCTATACAATGGAACAAACCAAGCAATCAAAACGAAGAACGAAACTCCTGATCATTGGTAGTGAGGTGCTGATGAAGAACCTGTCGATTAAGGTTGTATGGAAGCCAGATGTGGTGACTGGAGGAATGAAAAGAAACACGCATGTTCAAGCTAGAAACGGAGCTCTTGAGTTCCGATCTAGAAAAACTGATATGGTTTTGGGTTTTGTCTTGAAATTATTGTAATTATTTCATGGAAGATGGAATTTATGATAAGCTCTACAAGATTTTGGGTTTTGTTTTGAAATTATTGTAATTATTTTATGGAAGATGGAATTTATGATAAGATCTACAAGATTCTGCAATTACAAACTCATGGAAAGATGGGGATTTGCATCGTCATCAACTGCAAAAATTTTATTTTGTTATTTTTATTTTTTTGCAATCCTTTGTAATTTTGATCTCCATGATATCATAACTTCTATATATTCTTGCTCATAAAGTATTCTTAAGATTATATGCTCCCTCCATTAGTTGCATCAGATAAATAATATAGTCTAAACATTGTAGATTATCAGGCAAATTTATATGTGCGTATGTAGATCATATTATCAATAAGATGTTTTGAAAGAAGAACTGAGTGAGAAATCTGGGAGACAGAAGACAAAAACCAGAGGAGAAATTGAAAATAAGTAAAAAACTAATATGGGTCTGACATGTCAACTATTGAATGGCTACCCATAAAATCCATCCATCACGGCTAAAGCTGTAAGGAATTTAATCTCATTTATAAAATGAGTGTAGTTGAGATAGAGATAGTTAGAAGAACGTGTGGCAAGACTAGGAAATACACAATTAGAAACTGAATATATTTGTGAAATGACTGGAGTAACACCGATTTAAGATGAGTTGAAAGAGAATATACTCTAAGATGATTTGATCATGTATAATGAAGGGCGTAGATGCAATAGTAACAAATAGTGATATGATCAGCATAAATAGAAATGTTAGGGAGAGCCCTATACCTAAATTGATATGGGATGTTATAGTAAAAAATGATACGTATTTATTTAATTTAATTTAATTGAGCATATAACCCTTGATAAAGCAGAATGGCAAAAGAATTCATGTTGCCAACACCACTTGATTGGATTAGTTTGGTTTGGTTTGGTTTGTCTAGAAATTATATGGTTTTGGGGGCACCAATATCAAATCCTACTTGAGTTAACTTGAGTACTTCCAGTATTGTAATTATTTAAGTTAGGTTGTCTGATTTCCAGATTCGATATGCTTTTGAGCTGCTGACAAATCCTTTATGGAAGAGGAATTACGACATATTCGGTATTGACGAGCACATTGTGAGTTTTTAATTATCATCCTATCAATATGAAGCCTATGGTGCTTAGTTTGAACCTTTACTATTTTTCTTTGCTCAATAGACTTTACTAATAATCTTTTGATGCATGACATTGATTGTTGACTGTAGCACGTTCTTGATAGTATCAAGGAGCGACATGCTGGGACAATTTTTTCTGAAATTGACCTTCCATTGCTGGAGTCTGCTTCCTTTGGTTAGTTGAGTTGTTCCATTCTAGACTATTTGCTTTTGTACCAAAGATTTTTATTTGGAAACATGTACTATATGTTTCTTGTTGTGGGAAATACAACTCTAATATGATGTCATCATCTTTTTCTTTTGTTTTCTTTTCCTGTTAAATCAGATCCAGGAGATCATGATTTTGAGGTCATCACCTCTGGGAACTTTCTGTCTAAGTTTGAAAATTCAAAGGCATTGCTAATTCAGGTATTCTTAATAGGTACAGTGACTTGATATATCTTGGCTATTATCAAAAGAGCAAGTACTTAGTGGACCAACGTTACATTATTACATAGACTCTCTAAATAATTAACATTTTTAGTTGGACATTCACCTACCAAGCATGTAAAGTTATTCAACTTTAATTATACATAAAACTCCGTTACTACATCAATTCTGTTACATATTTTATTCAAAGCAAGTGAAGTGTAACACTCAATATGACTTGAAAAATACCATTTTAGCTTGTGAAATTAGAAATAGTATTATGAAATCTATATGTAACCATGCTTGATGCCCTAGGACTTGGGAATGAGATGAATTGATGCTTAGATACATACTTGCACTCGACACTCGTACCTGAAGCTTAGAATCTATGCAACAAAGGACTGGCTGTGTTTTTTTTTCTCATTTTGTACAATTGATATTTCATGTAATATGTAACAAATATCTTAACTTGAATTTATCCCAGAAAACCAAAATCTGAAAAAGAAACAACAGTGAAAAAGAAAATCCTTGAAATTTAAACCTTTTTCTTTAATCTAGGGTTTCAATGTTAATGTCGGTGGGGATGGAAAGACTCTTCATACTGATATAAAAACATAGATACATCATTCATATATTGGAATTTTTTTTATTAATAAGCAACAATTGAGTTTGTAGTCAAATGATGAAAATGTGTGAAATACCAGCTATACAAAGTAATCATAGAAGGCTGCTGTAAATATTATGAACTCTTGATCTTGTCTTTGTCATTCCTGTTGTTGCTGTGGTTATTCTAATATTAGTGTCCTGGAAAGAGATCTTTTATAGGTGTTTATTGTTGTTCATCAAAACTTGGTTCAGGTATTTTCATTTGGGAGTGACCGCTCTGCACAATTTTATAATAACTGGAAGAAAATTGGTATGCATTTCTGATATTAATTGTTGCATATATTTATTGTTGATGATGTTGTTTACTTGTGTTGTATCTGTCTGCTTACCCTCTTTTTTTACTATATTTTTTCTTTTTTGATATGTTCTCTGCTTGCCTTCTTTCCTTCCTTATACTTAATATGTCCATGATAAAGATGTGGAACCTATATTTGTATAAAATGAATCTCTTTTCCATATCTTGTGCTGCTCATTATAGGAAACTTAGTTCATTGAAAAAGATATGGGGTACAAAACCCAATAAAAGATTTTACTCTCAAAGTAAACAAAGCCGTTAGGCACGAGTTGTATTTAAATAAATCTTAAGTGAAATGATTTGATTACAATTTTGTGAAATAACAAACAAAAAACTTAGGCTCCGTTTGGTAAGTCTCTCAAATTATAGTTCTACCTATTGATTTGAGTGTGTTGTTTGTTTTGAGTTTTCAAATCATAATTCTACACCAATTTTTCAAAACTCAATTCAAAGCATAATCATTACTTTTCAAAACTCATAACCAAACACATAATTCAAAACTCTTTTCAAAACTCAATTCAAATCAATATTTTAATTTTTTAAATATTTTAATATTTAAATATGTTACGATTTTTAAATTTTTTGAATATTTTTAAATATTTTAGTTTCAAAATATTACGATTTTAATTTTTTAAATTTTAAAATATTTTATAAAAATAAATTCAAACTCTATTTTATAAAAATATTTTTAAATATTTTAATCTTTTTGTTATGTATTTGGTTACGATTTGAGTGTAAAATTGTGAAAGTAGTATGAAGTTTCGAATTATGTGTTTGGTTATGAGTTTTAAAAATAATTTCTTAATTGAGTTTTGTTTTATGTGTTTGGTTACGATTTGAGTGTAAAGTTGTTTTTAAATTTAAAATATTAACATTTTAAATTATTTAAAATTTTTGAATATTTAAATTATTTAAATTTTTACGATTTAAATTTTTTGAATATTTATTTTAATTTTTTAGATTATTTAAATTATTTAAATATTTATGATTTAAATTTTTTGAATATTTATTTTGAAAAAAAATTATTTCCTTCGTAGTATTTTCAATTAAAAAATTGATTAATGTTATTTTTTGTTAATAATAAATTTTTTTAATTAAATTTTAAAAAGAGTTTGGTTATGAGTGTTGATCAGAATTTTCAATAGTGTAAAAATAGTGTGTTTTGTTATGAGTTATAACAATTTGAATTAAGTTTTGAAAACTCTTTCCAAAACTCATAACCAAACAAATTTTCTTACTTCACATGTCAAATCAAACTTTCAAAACTCAATTCAACACTCTATTCAAAATTCATAACCAAACAAATTTTCTACACTCAAATCATAATTCCACAACTCACAAACTCAAAATACAACTCATACTCTCATATTATATTTACAAAACTCTACCAAACGCAACCTTATTTTTTCTCATAGTTAAGACATGTTTCTCCGACACAAGGCTGAGTAAACCTATTTACCTAATTAGTTTATTTACTTTTGTAACAGAATCGGTCTATCTGCATGCAAAACCTGATAATTCATTGAATCTCATTCATCCTATTGCTCTTCTTGCATTCGAGTATGTGGCCAGCGTAAGGTTTTTAGATTCATATGTAAAGTGTTTAGACTTGGGATTTTCGGAATATGGATTAAATGATATTGTATTCTATCATTTTAATTATTTGAAACATTTCATTTGTGTTCACTTTATGTTGGATAAGACAAAGAAATGGGAGCAGGTATTCCAGTTCCTCCTTTGCTTATATTCTTTCCAACCTTAAAATTTAAGTAGCTTACGATAGGGTGCCTAATGATGTGATATGGTGGGTGTTAGAGAAAAAGGGTGTGACCAAGGGGTTTATTGATGTGATAATGGACATATATGATGAGGTTGTAACTATAATTATATGTAGGAGAAATTAGTGAATTTCCAATTATTATAGGATTACATCAAGGGTCAACTTTGAGCCCTTATCTATTTGCCTTTGTTATGGATGAATTAACTATATATATTTAGTTAGCATGATGTCGTGTATACATTCAATATGATGTCCCATGATGTATGTTGTTCGTAGATGATATTTGTTCTAGTGGATGAAATTAAGGGAGAAATTAACACTAGAATAGAACCTTGGAAAGAAACACTCAAGTGAAAAGGGTTTAAATTAGTAGAGCTAAAAATGAATATTTGGAATGTAACTTTAGTATCGATAGTAGAAGAAATAATGAAGTGAAAATTAAAAATTAGCAAATTACAAAGAGTGGACATTTTTTTAACCTAGGTTTGATTATTAATTTGGATGGAGAGGTTAGAGATAATGTGATCCATAAAATAAAAGTAGGTTGGCTCAAGTACAGAAGTGCTACTGACATATTATGTGATCGATGAATATTAACAAAATTGAAAGGAAAATTTCATAGAACTATGATGTTAGTGATGATTTACAAGATAGAACGTAGGGCAACTAAAATAACATATTTATAAACAGAATGAATTCTACACGGCTTAGCCGTAAACCACCTAGTTTACGGGCGGCCACTCAATAGAAGCTACGTCGGCCTATGTTACAAAGACTTTTCAAAATAAATCAAATACTCACGTTGGACACTTGACACTCGGACAAGGGTATGAGATATGTGTCGGATACCTTTCAATGGATACTTCTTATATAATTGTATATTACACTATTAGTATATGTACATACTGTTGTATAATTGCTATAAATGTCTTTTTGACACTATAAATTATATATAACACTATTTTATCTTACATACTTGATTAAAAATATAAATATATAACATTTTTTTGCCGAGTCTGCGTACCCTTAAATTCCCTGTAACATAGATGTCGGCCATTGAACAGATGTCCACCACTCTGGTTTTCTCTTCTCTCTCGTTCTTTCTCTTGATGCTTTTTCTTCATTCCCTCTCTATACAATGGAACAAACCAAGCAATCAAAACGAAGAACGAAACTCCTGATCATTGGTAGTGAGGTGCTGATGAAGAACCTGTCGATTAAGGTTGTATGGAAGCCAGATGTGGTGACTGGAGGAATGAAAAGAAACACGCATGTTCAAGCTAGAAACGGAGCTCTTGAGTTCCGATCTAGAAAAACTGATATGGTTTTGGGTTTTGTCTTGAAATTATTGTAATTATTTCATGGAAGATGGAATTTATGATAAGCTCTACAAGATTTTGGGTTTTGTTTTGAAATCATTGTAATAATTTTATGGAAGATGGAATTTATGATAAGATCTACAAGATTCTGCAATTACAAACTCATGGAAAGATGGGGATTGGCATCATCATCAACTGCAAAAATTTTATTTTGTTATTTTTTTTTTATTTTTTATTTTTTTGCAATCCTTTGTAATTTTGATCTCCATGATATCATAACTTCTATATATTCTTGCTCATAAAGTATTCTTAAGATTATAGGCTCCCTCCATTAGTTGCATCAGACAAATAATATAGTCTAAACATTGTAGATTATCAGTCAAATTTATATGCGCGTATGTAGATCATATTATCAATAAGATGTTTTGAAAGAAGAACTGAGTGAGACATCTGGGAGAGAGAAGACAAAAACCAGAGGAGAAATTGAAAATAAGTAAAAAACTAATATGGGTTTGACATGTCAACTATTGAATGGCTACCCATAAAATCCATCCATCACGGCTAAGCTGTAAGGAATTTAATCTCATTTATAAAATGAGTGTAGTTGAGATAGAGATAGTTAGAAGAACATGTGGTAAGACTAGGAAATACACAATTAGAAACTGAATATATTTGTGAAATGACTGGAGTAACACCGATTTAAGATGAGTTGAAAGAGAATATACTAAGATGGTTTGATCATGTATAATGAAGGGTGTAGATGCAATAGTAACAAATAGTGATATGATCAGCATAAATAGAAATGTTAGGGAGAGCCGTATACCTAAATTGATATGGGATGTTATAGTAAAAAATGATACGTATTTATTTAATTTAATTTAATTGAGCATATAGCCCTTGATAAAGCAGAATGACAAAAAAGAATTCATGTTGCCAACACCACTTGATTGGATTAGTTTGGTTTGGTTTGGTTTGTCTAGAAATTATATGGTTTTGGGGCACCAATATCAAATCCTACTTGAGTTAACTTGAGTACTTCCAGTATTGTAATTTGTAATTATTTAAGTTAGGTTGTCTGATTTACAGATTCGATATGCTTTTGAGCTGCTGACAAATCCTTTATGGAAGAGGAATTACGACATATTCAGTATTGACGAGCACATTGTGAGTTTTTAATTATCATCCTATCAATATGAAGCCTATGGTGCTTAGTTTGAACCTTTACTATTTTTCTTTGCTCAATAGACTTTACTAATAATCTTTTGATGCATGACATTGATTGTTGACTGTAGCATGTTCTTGATAGTATCAAGGAGCGACATGCTGGGACAATTTTTTCTGAAATTGACCTTCCATTGCTGGAGTCTGCTTCCTTTGGTTAGTTGCGTTGTTCCATTCTAGACTATTTGCTTTTGTACCAAAGATTTTTATTTGGAAACATGTACTATATGTTTCTTGTTGTGGGAAATACAACTCTAATATGATGTCATCATTTTTTCTTTTGTTTTCTTTTCCTGTTAAATCAGATCCAGGAGATCATGATTTTGAGGTCATCACCTCTGGGAACTTTCTGTCTAAGTTTGAAAATTCAAAGGCATTGCTAATTCAGGTATTCTTAATAGGTACAGTGACTTGATATATCTTGGCTATTATCAAAAGAGCAAGTACTTAGTGGACCAACGTTACATAGACTCTCTAAATAATTAACATTTTTAGTTGGACATTCACCTACCAAGCATGTAAAGTTATTCAACTTTAATTATACATAAAGCTCCGTTACTACATCAATTCTGTTACATATTTTATTCAAAGCAAGTGAAGTATAACACTCAATATGACTTGAAAAATACCATTTTAGCTTGTGAAATTAGAAATAGTATTAAGAAATCTATATGTAACCATGCTTGATGCCCTAGGACTTGGGAATGAGATGAATTGATGCTTAGATACATACTTGCACTCGACACTCGTACCTGAAGCTTAGAATCTATGTAACAAAGGACTGGCTGTGTTGTTTTTGCTTATTTTGTACAATTGATATTTCATGTAATATGTAACAAATATCTTAACTTGAATTTATCCCAGAAAACCAAAATCTGAAAAAGAAATAACAGTGAAAAAGAAAATCTTGAAATTTAAACCTTTTTCTTTAATCTAGGGTTTCAATGTTAATGTCGGTGGGGATGGAAAGACTCTTCATACTGATATAAAAACATAGATACATCATTCATATGTTGGAATTTTTTTATTAATAAGCAACAATTGAGTTTGTAGTCAAATGATGAAAATGTGTGAAATACCAGCTATACAAAGTAATCATAGAAGGCTGCTGTAAATATTATGAACTCTTGATCTTGTCTTTGTCATTCCTGTTGTTGTTGTGGTTATTCTAATATTAGTGTCCTGGAAAGAGATCATTTATAGGTGTTTATTGTTGTTCATCAAAACTTGGTTCAGGTATTTTCATTTGGGAGTGACCGCTCTGCACAATTTTATAATAACTGGAAGAAAATTGGTATGCATTTCTGATATTAATTGTTGCATATATTTATTGTTGATGAGGTTGTTTACTTGTGTTGTATCTGTCTGCTTGCCCTCTTTTTTTACTATATTTTTTCTTTTTTGATATGTTCTCTGCTTGCCTTCTTTCCTTCGTTATACTTAATATGTCCATGATAAAGATGTGGAACCTATATTTGTATAAAATGAATCTCTTTTCCATATCTTGTGCTGCTCATTATAGGAAACTTAGTTCATTGAAAAAGATATGGGGTACAAAACCCGAGCATTTCTTTTCTCCATCTCAGCCTACTCGTATTTATGGAAATAGAGTTTGCTTTAAGTTGCTTTATAGGAGTGTCTAAATCTAGGATGGGTAACTATCAGGCCCCGTTTGTATTTGGTTTAAATAGATGAGAGGGGATTAGGATGGAGATGGAGTTATTTAGAGTTGTGTTTGTTTGTAGAGTTGGGGAGGAGATTAGGATGAAGGAGGTGATATAGATGGAGATTGGAAGGGGGATTGAGATGGAGGTGGAGGTGGAGGTAGAGATGGAATTAGAAAAATAGTGAAGGGATTAGAAATTTTTTTATTTATTTTATTTTTTATATATTGGGAATTTTTTTTTAAATATTAATGTTTAATTTTTTATATTTTTTTATTTGTTTTATTATTTTATATAAAAATAATTCCTCACTATTAATCCCCTCACTAACAATCCCCTCCATTCTATCTTTGAAAACAAACGGGGCCAATATGTCCATGATAAAGATGTGGAACCTGTATTTGTATAAAATGAATCTCTTTTCCATATCTTGTGCTGCTCATTATAGGAAACTTAGTTCATTGAAAAAGATATGGGGTACAAAACCCAATAAAAGATTTTACTTTCAAAGTAAACAAAGCCGTTAGGCACGAGTTGTATTTAAATGAATCTTAAGTGAAATGATTTGATTACAATTTTGTGAAATAACAAACAAAAAACTTATTTTTTCTCATAGTCAAGACATGTTTCTCCGACACAAGGCTGAGTAAACCTATTTACCTAATTAGTTTATTTACTTTTGTAACAGAATAGGTCTATCTGCATGCAAAACCTGATAATTCATTGAATCTCATTCATCCTATTGCTCTTGTTGCATTCGAGTATGTGGCCAGCGTAAGGTTTTTAGATTCATATGTAAAGTGTTTAGACTTGGGATTTTCGGAATATGGATTAAATGATATTGTATTCTATCATTTTAATTATTTGAAACATTTCATTTGTGTTCACTTTATGTTGGATAAGACAAAGAAATGGGAGCAGGTATTCCAGTTCGTCCTTTGCTTATATTCTTTCCAACCTTCAAATTTTACAGTTGGACTAAAATTAACTCTGAAAGCTTCTAAATGTTCTCCATCTTCTTCAATCCATTTATCCTGACTACACCAATCCCAGCCACTGAGTCAACAGAACTCCAGGATAGCTTTCAAAATTTCGAAACCAAAAAATCACGGCAATGTAGTATTGATCCAGAAAATTACTATTCAAAAGCATGTGTAAACACTGATCTCGTCCTACTGTTCAAAGCTCTAGAAAAATTAACTTTTTAATTCCAGCCTAAACCAACCTTAACCCTTCCCCTTCCTCTTCTTATTGGCCCTCAATGGCCTCTCCCCAGGTCCTTCATTTTAGCCACTAAATTACTCTCAAATAGAATCTTTTTTGAAAATCCAGCAAGCTGTCATTTTTTGAAATTCAACAAATTTAGTTTTTTTTTTCTCATTCTACAGACCCTAGAAGTTATCTTTTGTCTTTTTAGAACCCTGTACATTTAACATTGACATGAGTGCTAATCAGCCTTTTGAGAACATGGCATATGACACCCAAACAAAAAGGTGGAATATATATAACCATTAACCAATGATTTTGACATATCATATGCTGGTAGCCTTTTGATAATCATTGATGTATGTCAATAATAGTAAAAATACTAGGGAAATGGATGTCTCAATTTTGTCGTTGCACATATCAATCAGAATATCTAATGAGACACTATATATTGTATGTCTATGGATAATTGAAATAATTGAGTTACTATGTAATGGTATATAGTTGAACCACTTGTTGCTCTTTAACACATTTCTTTCCTTTTTTGTAACTATCTTCAAGTTGTTCAATTTTGTGGTTGGAGCTTATTTATTTTCTTTCTCAATTTGTCTCTGTCATCATATTGTATTAACTCATTTTATAATGAATATTTATTCATTATATATGAAGGATTAAAGAAAGTATGTTTGATGTAGTCCGTCTAATGAGGATATTGACATGATATTCGTTGATTTTGATAATATCATGACCTTAAAATGTAGGTTGGTGGTTTAACCAAAGTTATAGCCTTGAAAGAGTGGAATGGCTAGGTAGAACTTTCATACCCACCCGAGACAAATGGCAGAAGGCTTTGTTGAGTGGGATATATTGAATTAAGTTGTGTTTGCGAAGGGGGCAGGGGGAAATCTGAGGTGGTACTTTAAATAGTGTCTCACATATCAACCAAGGAGTTGAATGCTACTAAAGTAGTGCCCTTTTATATGGATGCCCTTGTCACCATTTGTCCATGGTTCTTGTATGACATCATATCAATTATTAATGTTGAATCCGACATCCATACACATTTTTGCTAGCTATTCTACAACATATAAGAGAGAAGATATGAAAGAATTCCTTGGCATCATTCGACTTTTTCCTTTAATTGGGAAAGAATAAACAAGTTGCTCTATTTCAATCCTAATACTATGATTTGATTTTCTAGAAGGATATAACTTGAGGATGGGAGATTATTTCATGTTATAGTGTTTGGCACAACAAACATAACATGAAATAAGGCAAGTAAAATTCTTAATAAAACTCAACACCCTTCACTGCTTGATCCAGCAGTCATCAAGTACATTAAAGAGGTCTGGCACTTCAACAAGAAGCCTCTGCTTGTGGTGTTAGACCAACAAGGCAAAGTTGTGAATCCTAATGCAATCCATATGATGTGGATTTGGGGAAGTATGGCTTTTCCATTTACTAGCTTGAAGGAGGAAGCACTTTGGAAAGAGACAACTTGGTCAATTGAGTTATTGGCAGATTCCATCGATCAATCCATTGTTAATTGGGTAATGACTATTCTTCTAATTGACTCTTGTGTTTGTCATTTCTCATTATCAAGTTTTGACCTACCAACATTGGGAATTTGGAAAGATTGGCACTATCTAATTATTAAAATAGTAGTGACACACAACTGAAGTACATAAAATGATGCAAATGTAATGAAATTTCTGTGACTTGAGTTTATTTTGTTGGTTAATTCAGATTGTAGATAGAAAGTACATTTGCTTGTATGGAGGAGAGGACCTAGAGTGGATCCGAAAATTTACGTACATAGCAAAAGCTGTTGCAAAAGCAGCAGACATCACATTGGAGATGTTGTATGTAGGAAAAAGCAACCCAAGGGAAAAAGTTTGAAAGATCAGCAACACTATCTTGAGCGAGAATCTCGGCCACATATTGTCAGACCCAACTCTCATGTGGTTCTTTTGGGTGAGGTTAGAAAGCATTCGGCACTCCAAGAGGCAACACGGTAAGTCTATAGAGAATGATCTCATAATGCAAGAGATCATGACAATTCTGGGCTTTGATAGAAGTGAGCAGGGATGGGCTGTGATTAGTCATGGCACGGCTGAGATGGCTAAAGCCAAAGGTGACACCATGTTGACTAGCTTGACCAAATATGAAGATTAGAAGGATCAAGCTAATAAGGTTGGTTTTGTGAATGCACTCATTAATAACCTTGAAGAGCATCACACCCCACCTCACTGCTACCGTCTGATCTTTCCTGGCACCACCGGAAGCATCCCTGAGCTAAGAAGCATGGGTGCGGGTACGAGTACGGTACGGGTACGAGTACGGATACACCGATATGGCAAAATCCCAAAAAAGTAGGGTATGGGTACGGCTGCGGTACGCCGATATTTTTTTATTTTTTATAATTATGGTTAAAAGATCCAACCTACAAATTGAAGTTAAATATCAAAACTAAAAAGAGAACTATAAAACTAAAAGACAAAAATATTAATATATTTGAATTCAACATAACCAACACCAATGCAGTCCATAATCCAAGCAAAGGAATAACTTGGTTCTAATTTATTAATTTATTAATTTTTTATTAATATATTTGTGTTCTAATTTATTAACTTGGTTCTAATTTTTTATTAATATGTTTGTGTTCTAATTTATTAATTTTTTTGATCTAATTTTTTTTTTTGTTCTAAATATGATTGAATAACTTGGTTCTATACCTCTCTAATTTGTTTTTGGTTCTACACCAACATTAGATTATACCTCTCTGAAGAAGAAAGAAGAAACGAGAAAAAAAACAAAAAAAATAAAGATGAAGAGATGATACCTCTCTGAAGGCGAAAGTCGTACCCGATGCCGTGGGTCAAAGTCGAAGACAAGGGTGATCTCTGGGTCGAAGTCGAAGATGAGGGTGATGGTCGAAGTCGCCTCTTTGCTTTGATGAGATTAGGGCAAATTCGTATATACATTTTTTCTTTTTTCTTTTTTAATTTTTCTTAATATTGCTCCGGTACCCCTCAATTTTTCAGAAAATTTGATTTCTGCCCCCGCCGTGCCCAAAACGCACCAAAGGCGTACCTATGCCGTACCTGAGCCGTACCCATGCCGTACTCGACTGAGGTAGATGTACCCGACTACTTTTTGCCGTACCCGGTACGCGTGCAGCCGTACCGGTACGCGTACCCACACCTGGTAAGTACCTGGTGCGTGTACGACACTATTTTTGGAGTACCCGTGCTTCATAGCCCTCATGTGATTTTGGATTAAATTGCTCCCGTTACATTTTCTCTCTAAAACTAAAACTAATATAAATTATACTACACGTGCATTTTGAGAGAGTTGGGAAGAAAAATAATTAAATAAAGTCAATTTTTTAAGGTAAAAAGACAAAATCGCCCCTTTCATCATCTTTTCCAAAAAAAAAAAAAAACCTAAATCTAAACCTTCCATCACCTCCTCCACCGTGCCAACCACCCCTTCTTACTCTCCCACCTCCCAGCGATCCCCACTCCCTTCCTCTTTCCCCTGCCACCCTCCCCACCTTCCAAATACGACCTCCCTCCCTGCCGCCCAGCGACCGTCTCCCTCCTCTCAACCACTGCCCTGGCCCTGTACAAACTCCCCTGTCACTGCAATGCAATTGGCAGAATCTGCGATTCCTGCAAACCGAACGACAAAACTCAATCTTAACTTATTCAATAGTTCATATATACACGCATTATATATACACAGAGACTTGGGTAATATGTAATCTTGTTTCTGTGATTAAGAAATAATATGATATCGAGTTTGATTTCGGTCCCTTTTTTTGAAATTGTAATGACAAATTTCAGCATTTGTCTGAGATTCACCAACCCTCCCATGATTCTACAGTTCTTCTATTGTTAGCTATTTGTTTATTACGTTTCTTTTATTGTTTTCACTTTCAAATTTTTTTTTTTCAAACTTTGTTTTACCTGCTAATGGTAATACATATATGTATATGAATATATTATTACTTAAGACGTGATTAAATTAGTAATTAGGTAACAAATTTAGAAATTAAGTTAGAAGTTAAAAAAAATCAAGTTTCTTAATTGAGGCAAGTTTGATTTATTTATTTTTATTTTTTTACTTTTGATTCTTACACAAATAATGAGAAGTAGAGGAAGAAAACAAGGGTATAATTGTCTTTTTATCGCTAAAATTATCAGAGTTAGTATTGCAATTTAATCCAAAACCACATGGGTGGCTTGTGGCTATTTTTAAAAGATAAAAGGTAAAGTGCTACGGGGACCATACCATAGGGAGGTAAAATGAATTTTGCCAAAAAAAAAAAAAAAATTTTTTTTTGGGCCATTGATTTAAAAGAATGCCAACACAGTTCTTGTCTATTTGTTTTGCTGATGCAAGTCTGGAAGCAAAAGCATATGCATTTTGTCTTTTGTACTCGTGAACATTGAAAAAGGAGTTGTTCTGCTATAAGAATCTAAGTAACAAATTGCTTACCTTGGCTAATATTTGTTTTCTTGTATCATTCCTTATTCTTCTCTATCGTCTTTTTCCTTCTCTTGTTTGGACTGATCAACTTGGTTCTATTTCATTTTCTCTATGAAGTTTTATATTTCTAGATTCCCTTGTTGATAGAAGTGGTTTTTGTTTTCGTTTCTTTGTTCAGCTTCTCTGTTAGATGGCATGGCAAATACTGGAATGGTTGAACTTGGAGAAGTTCAGCTTGCTACTTACCTTGCTGAGAAGACATTTACAGGGCAGCCTTCCTTTCAAAATGGTAAATAGTTTATTAGATTTTTTAAGTTTCAATTTTGGAATAATTACCAAGAAAGTAAAAAAAACTAGGACTCTCTGCCTCTATACACCTCCAAAATAGTTCATTGAGCAATCTTTGGGATTTTATAGCACAAAATCTCACCAAACAGATATTGATCTCCTAAGCTACGGATCAAATATTTGCTCTTTTTCATATAATTTATACATGAGTTATATGCAATGTGAATGATTAAGCACTGCAAACTAAATTTTCAAAAAACTGCAAATGGAACCGCAAAAAGATAAGACTACATCCTGACATAAATGAACTGCACAAAGAATATGCCGAGTTAATTGTGCGGGCTTGGGATGTAGAAGTATTTTTAGAGCCGAATTTGGGATGGTTAGATTAGGGCCGAGGTTGGGCAGCCTTGGGATAATGCATACATTCTTACTATAAAGTGCAAGCCTGACCAACCCAGTCGATGCCCACCCGTAGTAGAGAGTAAATCTGGATTTTATGACTGAAATGATTGTCACTTGATTTTCTCCCTAGTAAGAACTTTCTCTCATTTTGTGGAATTTAGTCATGCTTTCAATTGAATAAATTATTTTATATTTTCTTGTTTTCCATATATATATTGTTTGATTATGCTTGTTAAAGAGTTGGGAGAACAACTATTATTGTTATAAGCACTTGATTTCTTCCCCTATTTTAACTTCATTTGATATGCTTACAGGCTTGCCTTCACTCATTGCATTTCCCTCTGGATGTAACACTGCAAATTGTCTGGTTAGGTGAGTTTCCACCTGAGGTTTAAATTTTGAAAGCTGCCCTCATGCTGCATTGTGAGTTTAAAAGTCAACACACAATCTTTATAACTTTGCACATTTCTATTTATGCCCAATGCAATCTCTCTCTCTCTCTCTATATATATATATTATGGGATTTGTCTTATAATTTTCTACTTGATGGAAATAAAGAAAATTTTAATATCGTTTTGATTGTTTGATGCAGGTATGAGGGAGAGCTTTCTGTTGATGCTGTTACTAATTGGTTTGCAACCACGATCCTAAGTTTGCCTCGCATTCTATACTACTCAAAGGATTCATTGGTAATAAATAAACTCTTTCCTGGGTCCATATACACATTTTGTTATGACTAAATTGTGACGTAGGATAGTTTAGGAAACTTGGATGATGCTGTCTACACTTGATTTTTTAGTAGTTTTAGGGCCAAGAAAGGTTGTGGGTTTAGAGTTCAATAAGGTTGGATGGTTCTAGTGTTTGTGACAGTAACAGATTATAATTATCTGGAATTTTGAAGTTAATTTGTCGAGAATAAGGTAGAAGGAATGAACTTTTGTTGGGAATGATTCACTAGGCTTGCATTACGTTGTAATGCTGGAGTGGAATTTCATAGATTGATGCACTGAAAAAGCAATATGAAAGGAAATCATTATTTAGTTAGAAGTCTTTTCTGATAATTAGCATTTGATCAATATCATGCAATATTCTCTTGAATTTAATATTTGCATAATCATGACTAAGTTCATTATTGGATGGGGACTCCAGCATTTTTTTTTTCTTTTCTAAACCCTTTTTTTTTTGTCTCACTCTTGCTCTCTATTAAACTGATATAGGTTTGGGTAAGATGGGTAACAATTTGACCATGTTCTTTTCACTTAAAAAGAGAAGGTAAAAGAATTTTTTATGGTCAAATTACATTGACCACTCCTAAGGTTTGGCCATAAGGCCATAATACTCTCATTGACCCTACCATATAAAAACTACATTGTCAGACTTTGTTGGAAACACTATTAACAGATGATGTCAATTTATTCTTTAAACTTTATGAATTAAAGCCCCTTGTTATTTCCTCCAATTTATCACCCAAATTTCCTTCAATTTAGCACCCAGAACCTTTTTTTCTCAACATAATCATCACAACCCTCAACATAATCATCACAACCCTCTTCTCTAAATGAAACCTGAACAAAATCATCTTTCATCATTCACTTCCACCAACAGGTCCAAGACCCATATTTCTCTAGCAGCCTCTTTCCTTCCATCTTTTATCTCTCTCTTTGATCTTTGATAGATCCACCATAATATGAGCCATAATCAATCCCAAGCCCTCCACCTTTGATCGAAACTACCATTCAATAAAGCATGCAATGGGCACACAACTACATCTCTCAAATCCACCTATGGGCACCTAGTTATACCAGTTCCTATTCTTATGTACTTGCAAAATTACAAAAAGAGGGTGAATAGACAAATTACCATCTCCATCTAACTCCCCGAATCAACTTCAACATCTCTGGTGAGCTAAACATTGCAATCTCTAACTTTTAAGACCCATCTGCAAGCTCTTAAACCAATTCAACCTTATATTGTCCCAACAATAGCTAAATGATTGTTACGTGTGAATCAATGAAGCAAATAGGCAAAAGAATATAAAATATTTGGGTCATGGGAGCAGTGATTTTTTAAAGGACATGCTTTGTTGGGGGACCTGGTGGCTGATTTATATTGCTTATCTGGAGTAGATTTAGATGAAAATGGTGTTGATTTGTAACATCAACAAGCCTTGTCTTGCATTAGTGGCATTTTGATCAGTTTACAACAACTGTAACAATACCCTCGTTTAAAATGTTTTTCATTGCCAAGCCTTTTTCTTATTTTGGTCAATAATCCTTCTCGGAGCATATCTTCTATCAAGCTAGGCCTTGGGTTGTGTAAGGTATCTGATAAACGATGGATGATAGGGGTTTGATTTTGGCGGTGGCGGTGGCAATATTTGTGGTAGTCGTTGTCTTTTTGGCTAGCAAAGTGTGTGCCCACCATCATGGCCATTAGTAAGTTTGGCATTGATGGCGAATATTGGTGGAACTGAAGTTCTGCTAATTGTGACCCATACTTGCATTGGGTTTGTCATTGCAAAGCTTCTCTAAATCGAAGAGAAATGCCTCTTGTGTTTGGGTATTTGGAAACTTTATGGTGATTCACGGATGATTGTGTTGTGGTTGTTGATGTTAAGGTTGAGTGTGGTGGTAAAGTAGGTAGTGATTGTAGTTTGTGAAACATGGGGTTGGAATTGGGTTAGATGATGGTGTTGGTGATGAAATAGGGGTTGAATGGTCGTGGTGGTTGATGATGGTGCTAAATCGATAGAGTAGTGTTGGTTGTTTGGCGATGGTGATGGTGATGGTGATGGTAATGGTAATGGTAGAGTTGTTTGGTGACAATGGTAATGGGGTTGCTGTGTCCAATTAATGTATATATATAGACAGAGAAGTGGTGGTGATAGATGATCTGGCTTAGAGTGACACATGTCATCATTTGGGCTAGTTATAACTTATATCAAGGGTAAAGTAGGCATTTCAAAATTTCAAAATATGATGTCATCGTATTTCATTTTTATCACCAATGGTCAGTTAGCAACAGGAGGAAATCTATTACATGATTTCCCAAATAGAGGAAGTCAGTGTAATTATTAATACCATAGGGTAGCAAGTGTATTGAAGCCAAACCTTTGGGGTGGACAGCATAATTTATCTCTAACCACTGGAGTCAGGCAGTGGCGAGAACCAGTTTACATCATTAGGTTTAGGAGGTTGTGGTTTTATTCTCCACTTTCTCAAATGTACCTGGAAAAAAAAAGAAAAAGAAAAAAAAGACAAGTAATTGATCCTCTTTTTTATGTATGCTGAATTTACCATGCACACGAGGCCATTAATTGGGGCAATTGCAAAAGGTTGGCAGACCAGTTTGAGAAGATCTGTTCAGCTGTGAAGGCTGCATCTCTGTGTGAATGATGGCAGACATTAAAGTTTTACCTAGTTTAGTCCTTCCAAGTTCTCAATTGTCAAGATGCATACTTGCCTGACATAAATCACTAATGACTTTTGATATTCCTTTATCATTTTGCATAGTACTTTTAACTGAAACCAGCTTGCATTGCAGATAATAATGTTTCTCTTGCTTTCATGTTTTTTAATTGCCTTTTTATTGGAACTGATATGGAATTATATATTTATTCCAGCTACAAAGTTTTGTGGGAAAAAGCAGTCATAAGGTAAAAATTATTTTCAGTTCCCATATATTGCTAATCAGTCTATTTTATTTACTGTGTACTATTTAGTATTATTTTTCACTTTGATAATTTTGATTATAATTTATTGTCACACCAATAAAACTATTTACCGGTTACCACTTGACCAAAAATTATGATCCTGCAATCTTCTTATGGACCCTTGAAACAAATAAGAGGAAGAAATGCTATGTGTAATCATGTCTTTAGTTCTTTTATTTCTTTCCGAGAAATCCAAGTTATATATTTTATTTTAGCTGACTGTGCTACCCATCTAAATTGATACTTTACAACATGATGATACGTAAGGCATGTGTTCCTTCTTTGATGACACTGCCATGCTCATTCTTGCATTGTTTGGCTTCAATACCATGGGAAGATTCATGTTTTTTTTATTTTATTTTAATTTTTTTATATCTATTATCATCCTTAATTGATTTTTCAATTCTGGATAACAGGTGAAAGTCATTTTCTTCTCAGAAACAGGGGAGCGTGCAGCTCCATTTGTGCGTCAAGCTGCCCTAAGTTATTGGCCATATGCTGCTTTTGCATTTGTGCCTTGGCGAGAAGAGGAATCTTCCTTTTGGTGGAATGTGTATGTATATTTTCTTTCTTTTCTTTTTTGGGAGAACGTATAGGAATATGTTTTTTTTTTCCCTACCCTTTTTAAAAAAAAAGAAAAAGAGAAGGAAAGATTAATATTTTAAATGTTCTTACAAGCTTCCTTCAGAATAATTTCCTGGTTTTGTGAATAATCTTGTCATTTTTTTTTTGATTGGCACCGGGGTGTACAGATCAAAGCCCAACTAATCCTCAAATAATCTTGTCATTTAACTAGCAATAAATCTTAGAATAGCATCAGAACTATTTTAAATTATTCCTTTCTTCATTGAACAGAAGCAGCTATCATTATTCTTTCTTATATTGGCTTGAAGGATTGATGATAAATGGGGAATTCTTTTTGCAGCAAACCAGATTTTTTGCAGTCACAACTATCTACTTTTTGTTAACTTCTACTTAGATCTGGAAAGCTGTTTTATCTTGGATAAGTGTAGTTATCAAATTTCTTTATTTATTGCAGTGGTAGGGGGTAGAAAACGTCTGTCGTCATGTTACCCATGACAATAACAAAGAGTTATGTGTGAACAAATGAAATCCTACTTATGATGGAAGAAGAATAACAAGCTCAAATTTGATAGTGAAAAAGTTTTTCTTGCCTCACATGGAAAGACTTATACAAACTTTTTCTTTCAACGACATCTTTTCACTCTGTTTAGTTATATCCTTAAAGGGGATAACAATTTTCATCTCAGTATTATATGAAATATAAGGCATTTGAATGTGCAGGATCTTTCCCGGTAGCCCTACCCAACCCTTGTATGTATTTTGAGTCAAGTCCCATCATAAGATTTGGGGTTCTGGAAGAGGCTTGACAGTTGGATCCAATATATCTATTGGAGTCCATGCTACACAGCTTTAAAGCTGTCAGGGTCTGATTATTTGTAAAATTTGATGTATAGAGAAATAGAGAGAATGAATTATGTATTATTGATTGATGTAATGTTCTATTACAAATGGTTCCTTATATAGATGTAGGTGTAGTGGATGGTGGTAGTGGTGTAGTGGGTTAGGTTTAGTGGAGTAGGTGAGGTGGTAGTGGTGTAGTGGGTTAGGTTTAGTGGAGTAGGTGAGGTGGTAGTGGTGGTAGGTGATGGTAAATTCTAACATTATTCATATTTCAAATCCTTTGAAAAATCTTGTGCAAACTTTTAAAATTTTCATTTCATTCTTCTGTTTTGTAATCTCAATTAGGATCACAAATGTTCTGTATCATTTCATGCTTTTGTTGGCATCTCCTTAAATTTCTATGTGAAGATTTTAAAATCAATCTCCAAGCATATTTGTTTCTTCTATTTTGCTTTTGACTATTAAATTACAGAATAAGTTTTTAGATGAAAATCAAGTGAGGAAAATTATTTTCATCAGTGTTGTTGAATACATATCATGTATTGTTATATCACTTTTGTGCATTGTGCATCATGTCTCATGTCTTATCACGTATAAGAAAATACATTAACATATATGACTATAGATTGTGGGTAAGAGAAGTTAGAGGCGATCGGTCGTTGACCTCTGGGAAGATGGCAAACACTTCAATGGCCCGAGATCATCGAAGGTGGAAGAGGAGAAGACCAAGGCAGGCTTAGAGAGGAAAGTGGTGGTAGTGAGAGACCTTGAACACTTTGTATATGTTGTATGATTCTTGTTGCTCTTGTTATGATTGTGGCTGCACTTATGATGCCGTTATATAGACTCCAAGAGTATTGGAGCCTAAGCAATCTCAAGACAGGTGGCGAGTTCTCCTCAACTCGATAAGAGGGTGATATTAGCCCTACACTGTGTCTTACGATTCAGGTCCTTAGGAAGGTTGCATTATAAGAGTTGCAGGTGTAGGTATGATATCTTGAGAGGCGTATCATATATGTAACATGTGTAAGTGTCAGGTCAACGCCCTTTTTCTCTAAACTAGGTCAAGGTGGAACTATCACTGCAAGGAGACAGTTACACGACCTTGATGATCCAGAGGTCTTAGCTTCCAATCCACAATCCTCTAATGATCCCAAGTGAGTGCCTAGGTCCTGCTCCCAACCTAGGTAGCCAAGGGGGTGAGTGCATGGTTGAGCCAATGGCTCATCCTGAGCAGGTAAGTAAACATAGGTGAGCTAAGGGTCCAACTATGTTGCTATGGAGCTGGGGTGAGTGGGTAGAGAATATATTTCTTTTGTGTCATGAAGGGCCATGGAGAGCTCTAGGTGAGCTAGCTCTATCAAAGTGAGCTGTGGTCCTGTTTTCATACTTGGTGGTGTGCATTTAGCTAGGCATACAATCCCAACTCATCGTGGTGCCTTAGGGGTCTGCCATGTGAATGTGTGATGGTGATGACGTGATGCCCATAGGGCTCGCCACGTGCCAAGCACGATACAGATACTCACACATAAATAAATAAATAGTACTCTCATATGATACATAAATATATTGAAAAAATGCAGTATTAAAGCATATAACCAATGACATGAAAAATAATCTCTAAAAACTTACAAATTTGACAAAAAGGTAAATATGCATTCATTAGAAACCCAAATATTCAACTCATAAGAAATTGGAAAGAAAATTCAAAATTTAATATGACAGAAGGATTAATGAGATTTGATTGCAAATATAAAAATAAAACAAGATTTTTGTTTTTCAATTGAGCCCAACTTCATGGTCGTTAGTTCGTTTGGTTCCCAGTTTGCAGTCAAAGACTTTCTTTAGGACTTGGATGAGTATAGCTTAAACATACTTGTTATGAGGTATATGGTCATAGTCCAAACAAGCCTTTTGGCCCAAATCTTGGGCCTCAATCCAATTCCAAATGGTCTGCGTGTTTAAGCTCTTTGTTTCTTTCACCTGAATTAGATTAATGAAAGTTGTTCAAATTTTTTTTTAGGAAAGGGAGTATGGGAGTCATTTTTGCTTGAGGGTTTATTTGGATTTGGGTCTCCTTGAATGCAACACATATAACATGCAACTATCGGATTCGGCTTCCTAACATGGCATATGGATCAATTTCAAGGTATATGATATCAAGTAAGGAATTTGAAATTGACATTTGATTAGTATGATGAGCCAAACCCTTATGCATGCAAAATGAATGGATGCGAGTCCTGGAAAATGCTAAGGAAAACATGATGCTAACCATGATAAGCGGATAAATAAAAAGGAGAAAGAAATGGGGGTTGGAAGACATACACAATATTATAATTTTTCCTTCATACAAGAGGGTCCGAATGAATGTCCTAATTAAACTAACTATTACAACACCAAATAAATTAGCTACGCTAACTAATTATTACAATGTGAATGAATCAGATTAATTAATTACAACACATAATTAATTAACTAAGTAACTAGCTATTACAAGTTCAAAGAAATTTAACTAATTAATGAACTGGCTATTACAAGTTTTTATCATCTCAATTAGGATCACAAATGTTCTGTATCATTTCATGCTTTTGTTGGCATCTCCTTAAATTTCTATGTGAAGATTTTGAAATCAACCTCCAAGCATATTTGTTTCTTCTATTTTGCTTTTGACTATTAAATTACAGAATAAGTTTTTAGATGAAAATCAAGTGAGGAAAATTATTTTCATCAGTGTTGTTGAATACATATCATGTATTGTTATATCACTTTTGTGCATTGTGCATCATGTCTCATGTCTTATCACGTATAATAAAATACATTAACATATATGACTATAGATTGTGGGTAAGAGAAGTTAGAGGCGATCGGTCGTTGACCTCTGGGAAGATGGCAAACACTTCAATGGCCCGAGATCATCGAAGGTGGAAGAGGAGAAGACCAAGGCAGGCTTAGAGAGGAAAGTGGTGGCAGTGAGAGACCTTGAACACTTTGTATATGTTGTATGATTCTTGTTGCTCTTGTTATGATTGTGGCTGCACTTATGATGCCATTATATAGACTCCAGGAGTATTGGAGCCTAAGCAACCTCAAGACAGGTGGCGAGTTCTCCTCAACTCGACAAGAGTGTGATATTAGCCCTACTCTGTGTCTTACGATTCAAGTCCTTAGGAAGGTTGCATTATAGGAGTTGCAGGTGTAGGTATGATATCTTGAGAGGCGTATCATATATGTAACATGTGTAAGTGTCAGGTCAACGCCCTTTTTGTCTAAACTAGGTCAAGGTGGAACTATCACTACAAGGAGATAGTTACACGACCTTGATGATCCAGAGGTCTTAGCTTCCAATCCACAATCCTCTAATGATCCCAAGTGAGTGCCTAGGTCCTGCTCCCAACCTAGGTAGCCAAGGGGGTGAGTGCATGGTTGAGCCAATGGCTCATCCTGAGCAGGTAAGTAAACATAGGTGAGCTAAGGGTCCAACTATGTTGCTATGGAGCTGGGGTGAGTGGGTAGAGAATATATTTCTTTTGTGTCATGAAGGGCCATGGAGAGCTCTAGGTGAGCTAGCTCTATCAAAGTGAGCTGTGGTCCTGTTTTCATACTTGGTGGTGTGCATTTAGCTAGGCATACAATCCCAACTCATCGTGGTGCCTTAGGGGTCTGCCATGTGAATGTGTGATGGTGATGACGTGATGCCCATAGGGCTCGCCACGTGCCAAGCACGATACAGATACTCACACATAAATAAATAAATAGTACTCTCATATGATACATAAATATATTGAAAAAATGCAGTATTAAAGCATATAACCAATGACATGAAAAATAATCTCTAAAAACTTACAAATTTGACAAAAAGGTAAATATACATTCATTAGAAACCCAAATATTCAACTCATAAGAAATTGGAAAGAAAATTCAAAATTTAATATAACAGAAGGATTAATGAGATTTGATTGCAAATATAAAAATAAAACAAGATTTTTGTTTTTCAATTGAGCCCAACTTCATGGTCGCTAGTTCGTTTGGTTCCCAGTTTGCAGTCAAAGACTTTCTTTAGGACTTGGATGAGTATAGCTTAAACATACTTGTTATGAGGTATATGGTCATAGTCCAAACAAGCCTTTTGGCCCAAATCTTGGGCCTCAGTCCAATTCCAAATGGTCTGTGTGTTTAAGCTCTTTGTTTCTTTCACCTGAGTTAGATTAATGAAAGTTGTTCAATTTTTTTTTTAGGAAAGGGAGTATGGGAGTCATTTTTGCTTGAGGGTTTATTTGGATTTGGGTCTCCTTGTTATGGGCTTTTTTGATAATATGGTTTTGGATTGTTCAACGAGTGTGGGCAATGGCAATTGACATTGCAAAATGCTGTTAATAGGGCTAAAGGTGAAAGAGAAGGTATTGATAGCTAATCAAGAAATACATGTTAAATTGTGATACAATATGAAATTGATACAATGGAAAACGTATCTCATGATTCAATCTACCAACATATGAATCCGCAATACATATATTTTTCATAACGATTCTGACAACACTGCTTTTCATATTTAATCTTCATGTCTTTCTGAAATTTTCTCTTTCTTTTTCTACTTTTTTGTTCCTTTTTTCTGGAAGGCCCCTATTTTTTTGTTCCTTATTAAATAGTTCAGAGAAGAATCGACTATTCTTTTTTCGTCTTTTTCGTCAGTTATGCATCAGGCTAATGGGTTGATTGGTTAGAAAGATTGGTTACTCTAACCAGCGTACTGGACTGTACTTCTTTTTTGGGAGACTAATTTAGGTTCCCTTTCCCCTTCCAATCTTTGGTAACTTGATCGTGAAACTCCACCTTAAAAAATGTGGTGCTTCATAATTTTTTTCCAAAATAGTGTATGATCTTGATAGTATTCATATTATCAACAACAGGTTTGGAGTGGAATCTGCACCTGCAATTGTATTTTTAAAAGAACATGGTGTTAAACCTGTTGTGTACCATGGTATGTCACTCTCTTTATATTTCGTTTCATTGAATTTCTTGGTACTCTTTGTAACATAAATAATGTGTACACAACAAGTTAACATAAATAATGTGTACATAACAAGCTAAGCAGTGCACATTATCTGCAGGAGAAGACCAAGGTAGGCTTAGAGAGGAAAGGGGTGGCAGTGAGAGACCTTGAACACTTTGTATATGTTGTATGATTCTTGTTGCTCTTGTTATGATTGTGGTTGCTCTTATGATGTCATTATATAGACTCTAGGAGTATTGGAGCCCAAGCAACCTCAAGACAGATGGCGAGTTCTCCTCAACTCGACAGGAGGGTGACATCAGCCCTACTAGCTGTGTATTATGATTCAGGTCATTGGGAAGGTTGCATCATAGGAGCTGCAGGTGTAGGTATGATATCTTGAGAGGCGTATCGTATATGCAATAGGTATAAGTGTAAGGTTAACGTCCCTTTTCTCTAAGCTAGGTCAAGGTGGAAATGTCATTGCAGGGAGACAGTTACACGACCTTGATGATCCCGAGGTCTTAGCCTCCAATCCACAATCTTCCAATGATCCCAAGTGGGAGTGCTTAGGTCCTGCTTCCAACCTAGGCAGCCAAGGGGGTGAGTGCATGGATGAGCCAGAGCCAATGGCTCATCCTGAACAGCTAAGTAAAAATAGGTGAGTCAAGGGTCCAACTATGTTGCTATGGAGTTGGGGTGAGTGTATAGAGAATATATTTCTTATGAGTCATGAAGGGCCATGGAGAGCTCTAGGTGAGCTGTGGTCCTGTTTTCATACTTGGTAGTGTGCATGCCCGTGCTTAGGCTAGGCATACAACCCCAACTCACCGTGATGCCTTAGGGGTCTGTCACGTGGATGTGTGATGGTGATGACGTGACGCCCGTAGGGCTCACCACGTGCCAAGCATTATATAGATACCCACACAGTTAAATAAATAAATAAAAAGTACTTTCATATGATACATAAATATATTGAAAAAATGAAGTACTAAAGCATATAATCAATGACATGAAAAATAATCTCTAAAAACTTACAAATTCAACAAAAAGGTAAATATGCATTCATGAGAAACCCAAATATCCAACTAATAAGAAATTGGAAAGAAAATTCAAAATTTAATATAACAGAAGGATTAATGAGATTTCATTGCAAATATAAAAATAATACAAGATTTTTGTTTTTCAATTGAGCCCAACTTCTTGGTTGCTAGTTCGTTTGGTTCCCAGTTTGCAGCCAAAGGCTTTCTTTAGGACTTGGATGATGAGTATAGCTTAAACATACTTGTTATGAGGTACATGGTCATAATCCAAACAAGCCTTTTGGCCCAAATCTTGGGTCTCAACCCAATTCCAAATGGTCTATGTGTGTGAGCTCTTTGCTTCTTTCACCTGAATTAGATTCATGATAGTTGTACAATTTTTTTGTAGCAAAGGGAGTATGAGAGTCATTTTTGCTTTTGGGTTTATTTGGATTTGGGTCTCTTTGGTATGGGTTTTTTGATAATATGGTTTTGGATTGTTCAACGAGTGTGGGCAATGGCAATTGACATTGCGAAATGCTGTTAATAGGGCTAAAGGTGAAAGAGAAGGTATTGATAGCTAATCAAGAAATACATGTTAAATTGTGATACAATATGAAATTGATACAATGCAAGACGTATCTCCACGATTCAATCTACCAACATATGAATCCGCAATACATATATTTTTCATAACGATTCTGACAACACTACTTTTCATATTTAATCGTCATGTCTTTTCTGAAATTTTCTTTTTCTTTTTCTACTTTTTTGTTCCTTTTTTTTCTGGAAGGCATCTATTTTTTTGTTCCTCATTAAATAGTTTAGAGAAGAATCGATTGTTCTTTTTTCGTCTTTTTTGTCAATTATGCATCAGGCTAATGGGCTTATTGGTTAGAAAGATTGGTTACTCTAACCAGCATACTGGACTGTACTTTTTTTTTGGGAGACTAATTTTGGTTCCCTTTCCCCTTCCAATCTTTGGAAACTTGATCGTGAAACGCCACCTTAAAAAATGTGGCGCTTCATAATTTTTTTTTCCCAAAATAGAGTATGATCTTGATAGTGTTCTTATTATCAACAACAGGTTTGGAGTGCAATCTGCACCTGCAATTGTATTTTTAAAAGAACATGGTGTTAAACCTGTTGTGTACCATGGTATGTCACTCTCTTTTTATTTCGTTTCATAGTATTTCTTGGTACTCTTTGTAACATAAATAATGTGTACATAACAAGCTAAGCAGTGCACATTATCTGCAGGACCTGCCAACAATTCATGGTTTGTAGAAATATAGCAAAAAAGTTGAATTCGAACCAAAGCTTCCTAGCTGAGAGAGAGTTTAGATGACCGAGAGAGAGAGAGAGAGAGAAAAGAGAGAGAGAGAGAGAGAAGAATTTTTATAAAAAAAATCTAAAGTTTCAGACCTTTGATTCTAAGAAATATAGGCAAGTGGGACAAAATATAAGTTTTTTAAAAAAGAAACCAATATTTCACAGAAGAATGAGAAAAAAAAAATACTTAGCAACCAACAGAGTTCAAAGTTTCAATTAAACTTACCAGATCATTGCGCTTTTTCTTGGTGTCCCAATGGGCACTGAAAAACTCCTCCTTGCACTACAGTGACTCAAATACTTAAGTTGAATACCTAGCAAGCTAATAAAACAAATCAAAACAAGAGTGATGGAATGTATAATCAATGAAAACAGAAACAAATAAACAAATCACATCCTTACAAATTAAAACAGTCTCAGATCCCACAACCTATGTATTGCAAAACCAGCACTCTTTTTCTTTTTCTTTTTTTTTTTTTCTTTTTTCTAAGGCTGTAAACAACTCTATTCAAACAAACTCAAATGAGTCCTTTTCATCTCCTACTACTGTAGATATATATATATAGAATTTAGACACTTGATATCTTACGTGATCTGATTCGAAGTGATAGAATCTGAGATAAATCACTCTAGAGTTAAAACTCAAATCATTATTATAAACCGTAATTGCCTGGAACACTGACATTGCACTTCGAAACCCTAGACAAAATCCATTCGCCAGATGAACGAGAAAAGCTTTCCAATGTATCCCACTGCATGTGCTTAGAAAGAGCAAGAGACCACAAACTAAGAAAAGAACACAACAAAAGCAAAATGCATATATACAACAAAAAGTCTATGTGACGAAAATGCTGACAAAATATTTCGTCTCCAAAATGCATGTTTTAGTGATGAAAATAAGATTTCGCCTCCAATTGTATTATTTTTTAGAGACGAAAACCAAATTCGTCACCAAATGCTTAAAATCAAATAAAACAATAGGTGGCAAAAAATTTATTCGTCTCATAAATTTATATTTTCGTCACAAAACAATTTCCCGCCCTTGAAAATTTGGTGGAAGTTTTGCGCCATTTTGGAGACAAAAATTTGTTCGTCACCATTTTGTATAAAAGTTTTAAAGAGGAAATAATTTTGTCTCTCAAATGTATTATTTTTTAGAGAGGAAAACCAAATGTCACCAAAAATTACAATTAAATTCAATAAAAATAAACAAGAAATCTAGGCTATTGCGACAAAATTTAGTGACAAAATTTTTTTTGTCTTAAATTTAACCGAAAGTGACAAAATATATAATTTGTCGTTTGTATTTAATTTTTTCAAAAGTTTATAGAGACGAAAACAAAAAATTCGTGTGCAAAAAATGAGAGCGCCAATTTCATTTGCATTGGCGCGAATTATTTTAGCTCATTGGGACGAACATTTTTGTCACAAAATATAATTTTTTTTTGTGACGCAACGTAATTTTATCACCAATAAATTCCATACCTATTAAACGATGTCGTTTACATAATTTTCCATTTATTAGGGACAAATATATTTTTGTCTGGAATGATAAGTTATGGAAGACGAAAATATTTCGTCACCAATAAACACTATCATGCAAACAATGTCATTTCATCTTTCTATAAATAGGCGACAAATATATTTTTGTTTCAGAAGAATAAGTGTGGGAGACGAAAATATTTAGTCACTAATAAATTCTAATTGATTGCGTGACGAATTATATTTTTCATCTCATAAGGTTAAGTCGTGGAAGACAAAAATATTTCATCACCAATAATAAATTCTTTGTTCTGGTA